TCCCCGGCATCCGTTCCCCTTCCGGGTACAACCCCTCCCAGTCCCCCCCCCGCCGGCACCACTCCCGGGTACAAACCTCCGTTGCTCAGTCAGGGGGTCAAATCCCCCCACCCCGGGCGCTGCGGGCGTTTCAGCCCCGCTGCTCACCTGGGTCCCGCTCCCCGCCTCAGTCAGTGCGCGAGCGCCGGGCCCGGAAGCGCAGCTACTTCCGCCAGCCCAGCGGGTCCCACCGGGAAAGCGGCCCGGGCAGCCCCATTGCCCCCGCAGAAAGGGCCCTGCCCCGAAACACAGGGCCCCACCCCGCTCCGCAGAAAGGGCCCTGGCCCCCTCCAGCCCCGAGAGCCAGGGAACACCCCCAGGAGGGCATTAGCGAGGTGACAGAGTGAGGAAGTCCTCACGTGTCAGAGATCCTGACTCCATCAGCCATGTTCTTAGCTCAGGTGGAGGGTAACTAGCTCATGACCTGGCCACTGGCCTCATATGTTTCCACAGCAATGAAACCCACATCTGGTCCAGGGCCACTGACCTGAGCTGGAGCTGGAGCCTGGGCCCCTCCCCGCTCACAGAGACTTCTACCTGAAGGAGAGAATGAACCTCTGGCGGCTGTGCTCCTTGTGAGAGTGGTCCCTGGGGAGGGATGGGGGAAATAAATTTCCACAGCGCTTAGTACCCAGTGGTCTGAGGAGATCCGGGCCAAGCTCTGAGGAAGTGGGAAAGGTGGTTTGCAAATATGGGGAAAGTGGAATCTGGCATGCTGGGAACCCATCAAAAGGCCTGGTTAGCACCCCTAGGTGTCTAGATGGAGCAGGCATTGATACAGAGGCAGGAGAAGGAGAAGCCCCCTGTAATCCCTACTCCTCTTTCTCTGCAGGTTCTGCTAAGGAGCCAGGGCAGAGTAACAGTGGGTCTGCTGTGGGCAGAAGTGCTTTCTGGATAGGGCTGGAGTGTACAACCAGAGGACTTTAGAGTTGTCCTAGAGATCTTCAAAGCAATAGAACTTGGAGTCAATTTGCTCCAAAACTAGCAAAGACCCTTCAAAGAGCTGGTCTTGTAAAGTCTATTGTAGCCACCCCAACAGGTACCACTGAGGGAAAAATTTCCAACTGTGCACGGGGCGCATCCCATGCACACCAAGGGTGGAATCAACATGTACACTCACTTGAAGAACTACCTTGAACAAAGACCGTAACTTGTAAAGTTAGATCTGAGCCATTAAAAAGAAAATTTTAACTTTTGTTTGCTTGTTGGCCTCGTACTGGTCTGGGTTGGACTCCAAAACCTCACATCCCCACAGCAGTAAAAATACAACCTGACCATGGAACAGCTCCAAAATAATGTTTGAACATAAATAGTGTTAATAATTGCATGTCATTGACTTGACTAGTAGAAATCCGCTTGTGGCTTTCCATCATGCCCTCCATCTTGTCCAGGGAAGAAATGAAGACAAAATTTGCCCTTCTCTTACAAAGAAACCCTTCAGGGACAGGATTTGCCTTCCAGCCCACTCCTAATTCCCAAATGGATGGCAATTTTACCCACCTTGCTCTAAGTTTCGATCTACCTACTACACCCATCCAACCTCTTGGTCCCAGCTTGTCCCCATCTCCAGGCTTGGATTCAGTTGGTACACAATGGTTCGGTGTACTGGCACCTCTCTCAAACTGCTACCTCATTCTCCAGAATCTCAGCTTTCAGAAAACTATTTTATTCCTCATGTAAGAAAGGAGGTTCACAGATCTACACAATTTACTGTATTGTCTCATTTTGGTGCCACAAATGGCTGGTATTTGTTATTATAACCCCCATAGGCCCCTCTTCCAACCCAATCAAGTAGGAGCCTGACCCAAGAAGCCAACAAACCCCATGGACATATTCAAGCCCCACCAAGGGGGAACCATCAGCCCAATGGAGCTCAGAGAGCACGCACCTTCATATTTTGAACATCATAGAATGTACTGTGAGCAGGATCTCATTCTGGTGACTTGTGTGGATGGAGCTTATTTTGTGGGTGAAACTTGGAAGAAAATTAGGAAACCCATCCCCCCCCCATTTAACCTCTGCATTAAATAGACCCCTGAATTGTCCCCATTCTGCCCAGTCCTGTATCAAGGCTAACTAGGGAAGGTCCAATCTCTTTCCTGCTCTCACTCAATGCTGCCTGCAGGCATACTTTCAACCTGTAAAGCACCTGGGTCTAAAGCGCCTCCTCTAATTCTCTACTGTCCAGATCAGAGAAAAGTCAGTTTCAGGCCACAAGCTGGTTGAGCATCAAACACATTTATTTCACTTTTATTGAATACAAGAACAGTGAGCACACACGCATACACCACCAAGCACTGAAAAAGAATATGATTGAAAGGGGCGAAGGGGAGAAGAGGAACAGGGGAAGAGGAAAGGGGAGTTAGTGAAGGAACGACAGAGCATTGCAGTTGGTTGGTAAGGTGCTTTTCAAATAAAAATCCTGTTTATTATTATTATCACTCATGCAATTGCAGGCCAGTTTTGAAATGAACTTGCAGATTTAGGGACAAACAGGCACTCGTGTCTCCCACCCACTTCAACGGAAAGGCCCCCAGAAAAAAGAAAAATAGTGAAAAGAAAAATCTGAAATGTCAGCGACAGTGACGAAGAAGGTGGGAGGAAGCCAAGGCCTTAGAGTGATGCACGGCTTCAACACCATCACAAACAATATAGATATATAAAAAATATATAAAGAAAAAGCTTGTGTCTATTGCTCACCTGGCAAGGCGTGGATTATATCTATTTCTATATCTATAAAACCCACATCTTGCCAGGTGAGCAAAAGACTCATGCTCCCCCCCCCCCCCATTGTCACTCACTGTGAGGAATCCAGAGAAATAGGTCCACTGTTTTTTAGCTCTGAACATGCAGGATCTGTTTCTAATCTCACTTCCACCAATTTTGCAGCAGTGCAACTCCACTGTTTTTAATGGAGTGACTCCAGATTTTACACTAGCATGAGCGAGATCAGAATCAGGCTCCTGGGGTTTCAAAGTAGCCTCTAATTCAATTTCAATAGCATCAAGTTTCTACCAGTCTTTTTTTTTTGGTTGTTTGAAATTCAAAATGTGTCAAACAGCCAGTGTGATGCATGGGGGAATGTACCCCCTCTGATAGCAGAACAGACAGGCTTAATGCCTTGCACAGCTCTTGGGAACAGGTCCTCTGAGTTGGGCTTCTCTTCCTGAAAGCACATGTGTTTTTTACAGCTGACTTGGGTGTTTTTAAAAAAAAGTCTTTGTGTAATTGCTGTCACTCCTTTTGGTTTTGGTGAGTGTTGTCCCTAAAGCAGCAGCAGGTTATTGGTGGCTGTGAACTTTCAGGTAGAATCCAGGGAGAACACCACACATTTGGATTCATCAGAAGCCTGAAATGACCCTCACTGGCACTAGCACATGAATCAGTGCTATTGTCAGGGAGCCAGTGCTCATCCCTTTAATGCTTACAAGAGAAACCCGTGTGCCAAAAGGAGAACAGACTCCATGGAGACACAGTCTCATAGAATATCAGGGTTGGAAGGGACCTCAGGAGGTCATCTAGTCCAACCCCCTGCTCAAAGCAGGATCAATCCCCAGACAGATTTTTGCCCCAGATCCCTAAATGGCCCCCTTAAGGATTGAACTTATAACCCTGGGTTTAGCAGGCCAATGCTCAAACCACTGAGCTATCCCTCCCCCCCAGAAGCCAACTGGAAAGACCAAGGCCCACCAGAGACTCAGGAATCCCTGCTATGGTAGGAAATTGATCATATGGGGTATGCCCACCTGATTCTAAATATTCAAGTTGTCCATTTTCAATAGGATTCCCAGATCCTATCATGGGGACTAGCTAGATGTGCTTCCTCTCCAGGCATTAAGTGTGGGGTGGGGAAATAAAGACAAAGATAGTGCAATGTTTGTGGACCCTTCTGTAGTTTCAGGTGACAATTCCATTTGGAAATCAGTTCATTTCCTTTTCTTTTCTTTTTTTGGTTCTAAGTCTGCCCTAACTGCCTGTCTCACACAGTGCCTCAGGTCCTAGACTGGGCCCAAAATCTCCACTCCATAGGCAGCAGCAGAGGAAAACTTTATCTAAGTGCCAAGTTCTGACCAGTCGTGGGGAAAGCAGCCTCTCTGCCTTCCCACTGCCTCATCAGCATCTGCCCTCTAAGTTCTGGATGACTGGGCAATTCTATCCAGCCCTGTAAACCTGCTATTCCCTGCACGTTTGTCACATGGTATCTTCCTCATCAACTGTCGATGGACAGGAGTCAACCCTAAGCCAGAGTATCAGTAGACAGTACCATGCGGGAGCTGCCATTCGCCTGTTCCTGCCAGGGCAGCTGTCGCACAGCCTACAGCCACCCTGGCAAAATGCAAACATACAGCTTGTTATGGAGAGGTACTTGCTCTCAAGCTGGGGCTGAGGTTCAGAAATGAAGCTAGAAACAAGTGTCTAGACCAGTGGGTTAGGGGGGGATCACTGTATGCATCCCTAACTCAGCCCAGGTGCCTGGTTTTCAAGAACCTGCTGACAAGTATGATATGATACCTCTACTGCTGCTAGGGCTCCAGACCTGAGGAGTCAAAGACTGCTAGAGGCGGGAAGCATGGGAATCAAACGGTCTAACCTTGAGTCTCCAAACAACCTCAACATCTTTGGATTGGGGGCATGGGGAGACATTTCTGTCTGGCACATTTTGGTAATGGTAAATGGATGCAGTCCATTCCTTCTTTCCCAGTCCCCCACCCCTCCATGTTGCTGAGCACTCCCTTATCACCAACCAACCAATTACAAACACCATACACTGTGTCACTACACCAACCCCTCCTGCCACAGTGCATCAACTCAGTGGCAAACGTCCCATCCCACCCCCCCAAAGAGCAGCAGCTAATGAAATGTTCCCTGTTCTCTTCTTGTGGGATATCAGTGTGAGCTAAGATTCTCATAGTATATCAACCACAGTCAACCAAACAATTATAATTTAAAAATGTCATCAGCAAACTTACCAGCACTGTTTAATTATTTTAATATTGTTTCCCACCCCCCACTCCACACCCCCAGTTATATATAATATACATAACTTAAAAGCACATTCATATGAAACCCCTACAGACTGCATTTTTATAAATGAGAAACCATATACATATAGGTTTTGTTTTGTTTTAAATGAGATCTGTTCTTATTACCTTCAGCAGAACAAGAGACCGGACAAGGGGACAGAGGAAAGAGAAGGAAGGACAAGTGGGGGGAGTAAGAACAGAACCAAAAAATGATGAAACAGAACTAGCATGGAATGGGAAGAGGGATGATCACCACACATCCTGAAGCAGAAAATAATTACAAAGTAATCAAACAATTCAATGGTTCTCTCTCTTCTTTCCTTAGGTGGGGAATAGTTTTGCATCTGCTTGTGGGTTGTTGGAGTTTTTTTGTTTGCTGCTTTGTTGCAAAGCACGTTTCCTTTCCATTCAGTGTGCAACAAATGAACCCATGAGTTGTGTGTCCTTTAAATGTAACATGCAAAATGGCGGTTTATTGTATGTTAATAATATTATTGTTATTATCATGATTTTTTGTTTGTTTTTCTGATGAATCCAGTCAATTCTTCAATTTGTTTGCAAAGGCTAAAGTAGGCGGTTGGTTTTGTGTGTTATTGTTGATGTTGCTGTTTGCAATTCACCTCCAGCATATAGCAGCAGTGCAAGGATGCATTTTGTTTCCTGTGTATATATATATATAATATATATATATATATTATATATTTGCTATTCCTTTTTTAAAAAATTTTGTCTCTCGCCATTAACGTTGCAGCCAGGACGTCTAGGTCTCATTGAGGAATCCAGCAGGAAGGCCCCTTCTTCATTGTTCTCCGAGTTGGGTTTGAATAGAGATGCCAACTTCTGTGAACACGGCGGTCAAGATTCCTGCACAGGGCAGACGGAAATGATTGATCATGGAGCATTTCCTTTCTCATTTGGTTATTATTATTTATTGGTTTATAAAGAGCTTTTTTCTTGTATTAAGGCACCAGACAATCAAGCTGCAAACACAAGGGGATATAGTCTACTCTCATGACGCTGGTGCAGTGCAACTGATTTAAATGTGGTTGCCCTATTGTAAGGGTCCAATCCTGCGAGGTCTCATTGAAGTCATTGGTAGAGTCCCCATTACTTGAAGTCATTACATAAAGACTGGATATCTTTCTAAAAGATGTACAAATTACCAGGTGATTCTCTGGTATTGTCTGTTATGCAGGATCAAATAATCATAGTCTCCTAGTTTTCAGCCTTATAATCTATTAAAGTAATTGGAATTGTTGGCAAACAGTACCTTGCAGGATTGGGCCATGACTAAGGCTACGTTTTAGTCACGGGTATTTTTAGTAAAAGTCATGGACAGGACATGGGCAGTAAACAAAAATTCATGGCCCGTGACCTATCCATGAGTTGTACTATATACCCCTGACTAAATCGGGGGGGGGGGGGGAGGAGCATGACCGGGGGGGCACCGCAGGTGCTCAAGGGGGAAAGGGCACCCCAGGGGGCACCGCCAGTGCAGCCCAGGACCCTCACTGGTGCTGGGGGAGGGGAGGTTGGGGGGGCTGGCAGGCTCCCTACCTGGCTCTGCGCCTCCCTGGAAGTGGCAACATCCCTCAGCTCCTGGGCAGAGGTGTGGCCAGACAACTCTGCATGCTGCCTCCACCCCAAGCGCCGGCTCCGCAGCCAGGAACCGTGGCCAATGGAAGCTGCGGGGGTTGTGCCTGCAGGCGGAGGCAGGGCTTAGAGTCCCCTAGCCATGCCACGCTTTCACCTAGGAGCGGAGGGATGTCGCCGTTTCCAGGGTACCCCCGAGGTAAATGCCGCCCAGATCCTTCACCCCCTCCCGCGCCCCAACCCCCTCCCACACCCAAACTCCTGCTGCTGCTGGGGAAGGGGGGCGCAGTGGCCTGAGACTGCCTCAGCAGCAGGCAGTGCAACTGGCCCAGGGGCTGCTTGAGCTGCTCAGGTGGCCCCAGGCCAGGCGCATCGGCCGCTGAAGAAGTCACGGAGGTCCTGGAAAGTCACTGCGACTCCCATGCCCTCCATGACAAACTCGTAGCCTTAGCCATGACTGAGATTTTAGCCCCATATTTTACTGCAGTGACCAAGCTTTCACAGTCTTCCTTTATTTTAGACTCCCTTTTGCCTTGCTTTGTTGTCGATATAATGGTGATGCAGCCCCTTGCTCTTTTTTCCCCTTGTTTGAGGTCCCTGTGCTGCCTTATTAGCTCATTGTTGCCTTTTCCTTACTATTTCTATTGTGATGAAAGCTTACGAGCTGCTTAGGTGCAAAAACAAACAAAACCCAAACATTTTAAACTTGACAGCTCTCGGTTCCAGCTATCTCTGGTATCTGTGCCAATGTCTCTGGACATCTGGCCAAAGTCATCTCAGATACATGTCCTCTGAAGCTGACAGGGTCACATCAGGGTTGCATTTGGCCCATTGCGTCTATACACAATAGAGTCTGTCTGTTTCATTTATGAGCTCAGGATGCCTGTTTAACGGATGACTAACACGTGAAATGGGATACTACGAACATCCATTTTTCAAAATTCCAACCTCCAGCCCTGAAATTTAAAGCAAGATTATTTAGATCAATCAGAAATAGAAAAACAAAAAACAGAGCCATGTTTTCAAGAGGGCTCCGGAAATGCCTGGAGTTTGTGAGAGTGCACCAGCCTGCGCATGCAAAATACATGCTTTAGCACTGGCATATGGACATTTAGAAGGAGGCAACTTGGGGAACTGGGCAGGTTTTAAAAAAAGCAATTAAAAACAATTATTCCTGATGAACGTAGTGCTGGTGAGTGGTAGCTGGCTGGCAGAACCTGAAGACTAAAGTCCTCACTTTACCCACAGAACGGGCACTTGCAATACCGCGCTCAGTCAGTCTATGCTGAGCCCGATAACAAGGAGGACAATGGTAGTGGTGGGTTTGGTGATGTGGTCACGGGTCTTCTCACAGCAATCAGATGGTAAAAGCTCTCTGGGCCATTCCCAGGCCTCTGGATAGGACAGTCCAGTCTCCTGGAGCATACACAGATATCCCTCTCCAGTTGCAAATGTGGGTTCTTAGAATATGCAAATGGGCTCGGTCACAAACATGGCCATTTTTGGAAGCCCTTTGCAAACCTATCCCATAGTGTCTAAGACAGACGATGAGTGAAACACCACACACTGGGGAAACGATTAAGAGAACTGACAGAAGGTTCCTAGGAAGGAAATCTGAGGGTATTTGGAAGTAAGGAGGGGCTGTGCAAAAAGAAATGGGATAAACACTGGGCCCCAAGATAAGGCCTTTAGAACAGTCATTGTGACAACCCTAGATAAAGAACACTGAACACATGGTGCTGCTCACAGAACTGCTTTGCAAGTAGCCAGGATAATTGGGCAGCAAAGCAGTCCCCGTAGCCCGTCTCAGAGGCTGCTCCTAGAGGTCCTTTTAAAAAGTTGTTCATGGCTCTAATCTACACTATTTCCTACTGTAACTACAATATGAGAGAGGCTCTGCCTGTATCATCACTTATGCATCATAGCTGTGAGGGGTTCCCTGCCTGTATTGTTGTCAATAAATTACATCTGTGAAGGACTTCCTGCTTGTACCATTTATCAATTCTAGCATATTGCACCTATGGAGGATGCCCTGCCTGCACAGTAACCTATATATATATTGTACCCGTGAGAGAGGCTCTATTTGTAACTTCTATACATACCTGAGGTTTCTTGTCCCTTTCCTCTGGAGATGGTTCTGTTTCTCTATATACCACAGCTTTGGTTACCAGCATGTCAGGGTGCTGTAGTTTTGCCTCTTTGATTGCCAAAGCTAATGCCTGTAAACCAGAACAATGTCAGAGTATTTACCACAATGTCAGTTACATCTTTTGTTAATAGCCAAGATTAGCATTACTTCTGGAGCAAGCCACAAGCATGTCAGAAAATGGGCCCAGGGCATGTGAAACTACTCATGGCTAAGGTTGGGCACGAAAGGAACTGGGTTTGGATTGAATTCTCGAGAAGCTTAACCATCCCTGCGAACCCAAAGACAGAGATTCAAAGCTGAATCTGTGGGTAATGACCTGCTAGCACAACTTGCCTACTAGCTGACCAAGGATTTGTAAAACCCTAGGATGTTCTATTCATCATTCTTTGCTGGACTTATTTTCTGTAGAATCATAGTGATAGAAGGGACCAAGGGTCATCTAGTCTAACTCTCTGCCAAGATGCAGGATTTGTTGTGTCTAAATCATCCAAGACAGATGGCTCTCCAGCCTCCTTTTGAAAACCTCCAGTGAAAGAGTTTCCACAACCTCCCTAGACAGTCTGTTCCACTGTCCTTACAGTTAGGAAGGTTTTCCTGAAATTTAATCTAAGTCTACTACGCTGTAGTTTGAACCCATTGCGTCTTGTCCTGCTCTCTGTGGTAAGAAAAAACAACTTTTCTCCATCTTTTTTATGGCAGCCTTTCAAGTATTTGAAGACCGATACCATGTCCCCCCTTAATCTCCTCTTTTCCAAACTAAACATACCTAGTTCCTTCAGCCTTTGCTCATACAGCAGGCATTCCATCCCTTTGATCATCTTTGTTGCTCACCTCTGGATCCTTCCCAGTTTCTCTACATCCTTTTTATACATTGATGACCAAAACTGAACACAGTACTCCAGCTGAGGCCTAATCAGCACTGAGCAAAGTGATACCATCACCTCCCCTGACTTGCATGCTATGCCTCAGTTAATACAACCTACAACAGCATCACATTGCTGACTCACGTTGAGGTTGTGATCCACCACAACTCCCAGATCCTTCTCAGCAGTGCTGCTGCCCAGCCAGTTATCCCCCATTCTGTATTTGTGCATTTGGTTTTTCTTCCCTAAGTGTAGCACCTTACATTTGTCTTTGTTGGATTCATTTTGTTGTCTATAGCTCAGTTCTCCAATTTATCAAGATCACTCTGAATTTTAGCTCAATCCTCTAAAGTGTTGACAACCCCTCTAGCTTTGTGTAATCTGCAAATTTCATCAGGATGTTCTCTAGTCCTACATCCAGGTCATTAATAAAGATGTTAAACCAAACCAGACCCAGAAGAGATCCCTGTGGAACTCCACTTGAGATTTCCCTCCAATCTGACATGTTTCCATTAATAGTTACTCTTTGCTTGCAGTTGTTTAACTAATTATGTATCCATTTAATGTTAGTTCTGCCAAGCCTGCATTTCTCCAGAATGTCATGTGGGACTGTGTCAAAAGCCTTGCTGAAGTCCAGCTATATTATGTCCACCGCATTCCCCTTATCCACCAAACCAGTTACCCTGTTAAAGAAGGCAATCAAACTGGTTTGGCATGATTTGTTCTTGGTAAATCCATGCCGGCTGCTAGTAATCACCACTTCATCCTCCAGGTATTCGCAAATTGAATGTTTTATACATTACTCTAGTAGCTTCCAAGGTATTGAGGTCAGGCTGACTGGTCTATAGTTTCCCAGCTCCTCTTTTCCCTTTCCATGGGCACTATGTTAGCCATTCTCCAGTCTTCCAGGACCTCTCCTATCATCCATGAGTTTGCAAATATTATTGCCAGATTTCTTCAGCTAGAGATGCAGAACATCTGAGTCTTCATCACTGAACTCCTAGCAGAGGACCTTCAGCAATTCTTTGTGTTAAGCTAATATTTTAGATTCTGCTCCTTTTAAGTATCAGAGGGGTAGCCGTGTTAGTCTGAATCTGTAAAAAGCAACAGAGGGTCCTGTGGCACCTTTGAGGCTAACAG